CCCTCCTCATATATATAGGTGGGAGGGATAGGTCTGAACCCTACTTAGGCTCCTGCCCTTGGCCGCCCCCCTGCCATGTTTGTTGGAGGGGGAGGAAAGAGAGGGGGAGAGGGAAGGAAGTGGGAATCCTAATCCACACTTACCTTTCCCTTCTCCCCTTTCCTTCTCCTCCTTAGGCTGGCCCATATGGGGGCGCACCAGTCCCTTGTGGCTGGTGCGTTTCCCCTCTTGGCCCATAAGGCCCATATCTTTTGCCGGGGGCCCCGGAACCCCTTCCGGTGACCCGATAAGTACCTGGTACCCCCCGAAACACTTCCGGTGTCCGAATACCATCGTCCTATATATCAATCTTTACCTCTTGACCATTTTGAGACTCCTCGTCATGTCCGTGATATCATCTGGGACTCCGAACAACATTCGGTCACCAAATCACATAACTCATATAATACCGTATCGTCATCGAACGTTAAGCGTGTGGACTCTACGTGTTTGAGAACTATGTAGACATTACCGAGACACCTCCCCGGTTAATAACCAATAGCGGAACCTAGATGCCCATATTGGCTCCTACATATTCTACGAAGATCTTTAAGGGTCGAACAGTTATGACAACATACGTAATTCTCTTTGTCCATCGGTATGTTACTTGCCCGAGATTCGATCGTCGATATCTTCATACCTAGTTCAATCTAGTTACTCTCAAGTCTCTTTACTTGTTCCGTAATACATCACCTCGTGACTAATTCCTTAGCCGTTTGCTTGCAAGCTTATGATGTGTATTACCGAGAGGGGCCAGAGATACATCTCCGATACTCGGAGTGACAAATCCCAATCTCGATCTATGCCAACTCAAAAAACACCTTCGGAATATGTATTTGACATGAAGAAAACAATAGCAATAAAACTGAACGATCATTATTCTAAGCTAACGGATGGGTCTTGTCCATCACATAATTCTCCTAATGATGTGATCCCGTTATCAAATGACAACACATGTCTATGGTTAGGAAACCTTAACCATCTTTGATCAACGAGCTAGTCTAGTAGAGGCTTACTAGGGACACTGCATTTGTTTATGTATTCACACATGTATTTAAGTTTCCAATCAATAAAATTCTAGCATGAATAGTAAACCTTTATCATGAATAAGGAAATATAAAGTAAGAACTTTATTATTGCCTCTAAGAAATATTTCCTTCAGTATCCCACTTGCACTAGAGTCAATAATCTAGTTCACATCGCCATGTGATTAACAACCATAGTTCAAATTGCCATGTGACTAATATCCAAAGAGTTTACTAGAGTTAATAATCTAGTTCATATCGCCATGTGATTAACACTCCAAGAGTACTAAGGTGTGATCATGTTTTGCTTGTGAGAGAAGTTTAGTCAATGGGTCTGCCACATTCAGAGCCGTGTGTATTTTGCAAATTTCTATGTCTACAATGCTTTGCATGTACCTACTCTAGCTAATTACTTCCACGTTCAATATGTATCCAGATTGAGACTTGGAGTCATCCGGATCGGTGTCAAAGCTTGTGTCGACGTAACCCTTTATGATGAACTCTTTATCACCTTCATAACCGAGAAATATTTCCATAGTCCTTTTCGGGTATCTAAGGATAATTTTGACCGATGTCCAGTGATCTACTCCTGGATCACTATTGTACCCCCTTGCCAGACTCATGGCAAGGAACACAATAAGTTTGGTACACAACATAGCATACTTTATAGAACCTATGGCTGAGGCATAGGGAATTGATACGTCTCCAACGTATCTACTTTTCCAAACACTTTTGTCCTTGTTTTGGACTCTAACTTGCATGATATGAATGAAACTAACCCGGACTGACGCTGTTTTCAGCAGAACTGCGATGATGTTGTTTTATGTGTA